GATACGCACGTTTGACAAGCTCTTTGACTCAATCAACTGCCCGTGGGAGCAACGAGTGAACATTGCGGTGTATTACCTGCATAAGGAGGCAAATCATTGGTGGGCTACTGTTGGGCCAACATTTCTTGAACAACCAAACTTCACATGGGCAGACTTCAAGACGGCGATGCGTGACCGGTTCTATCCTGATTACATAAAGGAGGCAAATTACGAAAAGTTTGTTCCCTTCAAGCACGGTGACTTGACTGTGCAAGAATACCATACTAAATTCGTCCAGTTGTCCCAATTTGCCGATGACTTGGTATCCACCGAGGCTAGAAGAACACGTAGATTTATTAAAGGGCTTAACTTCGGCGCCCAAAAGTTCGTGACTGTGGTCGAGCCTCGAACTTCGAATGAAGCATACGGAAAAGCTGGTAAATACTACCAGGTACACCAAGAAGAAAGAGAAGCTCAAAAGAGGGAGAGAAGGAATACTGAAGTGGAGCAGGTGCAGAAGAAGGCCATAACCGATCGTCCCGAACAACGCCAAAACAATCAAGGCGAGAGAAGGTTTCGAGGGCATGGTCAAAGGCAGGAGCAACGAAACCCAGTAAGACACTATTGTAAGATCTGCCCGAACAACCATCTGGGCACTGATTGTGCGGGAAATCGTGTAACGTGTCACATTTGTGGCCGTTTGGGACATAGAGCTTACGAGTGTCAGGATGCGAAGAAGCCCAGAACCCGGGGCAGAACCAATGAGGGCGCAACCAGGGGAACAATCGAACCGGTGGTGAGGGTAATCACGAAAACAACAATCGTGGTAATCCCGAAAACCGTCCGGCAGAAGGCAACCGTAACCAAGGCCAAGGAGGGCGGAACAACAACCAAGGCCGGATTTATGTCATGAATCAAGCTCAAGCAAATGCCCACGACGTTGTGTCACGTAGATTTCTTCTAAATTCGACGCCTGCACATGTATTGTTTGATTCGGGTGCGTCCCATAGTTTCATATCCTCTAGACTTGTGGGGGAATTACAGTTAGAACCTACCACTAGACTAAATTTAAATGTAAAAACTAGGGGTGGGAAAAACCGAACCGAAACCCGGAAACCAACCCTGGACCGACCCGAATTATGACCTCGGTCCGGGTTTTTTCTTTTTAACCGGCCCGAATTAAAAATACCCGGACCGAACTCAAAATTCCGGGCTCATTAACGGGCCTTAAAATCTATAACCCGGCCCGGACCGAAAAAACCCGAAACAATTAGCTTTAATATAAAATTAATATAATATATGAATATAAATTTATAAATATTCCCTAATATATGATTATAATCATGGTGGATAAAAAAATGATTTAGTAACTTTTAGTGACAACAAATATGTTCAATTTGTTTAGCATAATGACCATGAAAATATATTTATAGGAACTCTATTCACAATTTTATCTATAAATTTTATTTGGTAATATTTTTAAGAAACCTATATTATTTATTTATATGCATCTTAAATAAAATATTAAGATAATTATCTTCTTTGAATTTGAATTGTTGGTGATTTTGAAGACTAATATTTGTGTTATTATTTGCGGTTTGTATTTTTCATTAATTTTATTTGAAAATAGGTGTTGAAAATAGGTGTTAAAATATAAAAGAACAATGAGATAGTTCACGTTCGGGCTTTAACCGGCCCAACCCGAACCCAAACCGAACCCGGGCTACCAAAAACCCGACTCGGACCGAATATGATGGGCTTTGTTCCGGTCCCTAATTTTCATAACCCGAGACCTTCCGGGTAATTTCCGGGTTTAGCAAAAACCCGACCCAGACCGGACCGATCTCACCCCCAGTAAAAACGGCATCTAATAAAGTCGTAGCTTGTGGGAGTGTTTTCTCAAATGTTTCCATAGTCATATCCGACACCGATCTACCCGGAGATCTAATCCAGTTTGATCTGGAGGATATCGACGTGGTATTGGGCATGGATTGGCTAGGGAAATATAAGGCGAAGATCCTTTGTGACGAGCAAAAGGTGGTCTTGAAAGGACCCAACAAGAAGCGTGTATCCTACAAGGCGATAAACTCCGAGCCAGGCGTGAAGCTAGCAACTATGCAACAAGTCAAACGATACGTCTGAAAGGGTTGTGAAGTTTACTTGTGCGTGATCAAAGAATCAAACTCGGAGGAGCCGACCATTGACCAAATCCCTGTGGTCAATGAATTTCCAGATGTATTTCCAGAGGAGATTCTGGGGATGCCACCATAAAGGGGAGTGGAGTTTTCGATCGATCTATTACCAGGCACCGCATCGATTTCGAAGGCACCATACAGAATGGCACCGAAGGAGATGCAGGAGCTGAAGGAACAACTTGAAGAACTCTTGGAGAAAGGCTACATCAAGACGAGTGTCTCACCTTGGGGCGCTCCGGTCCTTTTTGTAAAGAAGAAGGACGGGAGTCTGAGGCTCTCCATCGATTACAGGAGCTCAACCGAGCAACCATCAAGAACAAGTACCCACTGCCGCGAATCGATGACCTCTTTGACCAACTAAAGGGAGCTAGCACGTTCTCTAAGGTTAACTTGAGATCTCGGTACCATCAGGTGAGAATTGCAGACAAAGATATTCCAAAAACGGCTTTTCGCACGAGGTACGGACACTATGAATTCACCGTAATGCCGTTCGGTCTAACAAATGCACCTGCGGTATTTATGGACCTCATGAACCGTGTGTTCCGACCCTACCTCGACTTGTTCATTGTTGTATTCATCGATGACATCTTGGTTTACTCCAAGACACCGAAGGATCATGAGGGACATCTAAGGACAGCGCTGCAAACTTGGAGAGAAAATCAGCTTTATGCCAAACTCTCAAAGTGTGATTTCTGGAGGGATCGGGTAGCTTTTTTGGGCCACATAATCACCCAAGAAGGTGTATCCGTTGACCCATCAAAGATTGAAGCAGTGATAGATTGGCCTACACCCACAACAGTGACGGAGGTCCGCAGCTTTCTAGGCTTGGCGGGCTATTATCGTAAATTTGTGAAGGATTTCTCAAAGATAGCAAAACCTTTGACTAATCTCACAAAGAAGACGACGAAGTATCTATGGAGTAGCGAGTGCGAGGAGGCATTTCAAGAGCTGAAGCAGAGATTAACAACTGCACCGGTCTTGACCCTACCATCCAGGACGGAGGGGTTCGAGATCTACAGTGATGCTTCATTGAAAGGGTTGGGTAGCGTATTGATGCAAAAGGGCAAAGTTGTTGCCTATGAATCAAGGCAGTTGAAGACTCATGAAGTCAACTACCCCACTCATGAGTTGGAGCTGGCTGCGGTGATCTTTGCTCTAAAGTTATGGAGGCACTATCTATATAGGGCACAGTGTACAATTTACACTGATCATAAGAGCCTGAAGTACATTTTCACGCAGAAGGAGCTTAACATGAGACAGAGACGTTGGTTAGAGATTGTCAAGGATTACGACTTGGAGATCCAGTACCATGAGGGGAAAACAAACGTAGTTGCCGATGCATTGAGCCGGAAATCAACTCACTCTTGTAGAGCAACATGGATACTACCTGATGAGCTATATCGAGACTTTCTAAAGCTAGACATGGAAGTGCGGGATTTTGGAGAGGTAGATAGTGAAATACGGTTACTTACTATGACCGTTACACCATCTATCTTCGACGAAATCAGAGGAGGACAACTTGGAGACATAAAGCTAGAAAGAATCCGAGCAGGAATGACAGATGGGGTGAACGGACCATTCAAATTGCATGAACATGGGAGCATTCGCTTCAAGGGAAGGTGGTGTGTCCCGATGAAATGTGAAGAACTTAAGAAGAAAATTATGGAGGAAGGGCACAACACACCCTACTCAGTACACCCAGGAGACGACAAACTCTACAAAGACATCAAAAAGAACTTTTGGTGGCGAAGGATGAAGAAAGAGATAGCTGAATTCGTCGTTCGATGCTTGAACTGCCAGAAGGTGAAAGCCGAACGTTGTAAGCCCAAGGGACTCGTGCAACCCTTGGATGTGCCGAAATGGAAGTGGGATTCAATCTCCATGGATTTTGTTGGGGGTTTACCCTTAACAAAGTCTGGCAAAGACAAGATTTGGGTTATAGTTGACCGGTTGACCAAGACCGCTCGCTTTATCCCGATAAACGAGACCTGGAGCATGGAGAAATTAGCTCGAGCTTACATTAAGCACGTGGTTAAGTACCATGGTGTTCCTCAAGACATTGTTTCTGATCGTTATTCAAGATTCCTATCTCAATTCTGGAAGGAGTTGCAAGAAGCCATGGGAACAAAGCTGAAGTTGAGTACAGTTTTTCACCCGACCACTGATGGGCAAACTGAGCGAACCATCCAAACACTCGAGGACATGCTGATAGCATGCGTGATAGACCTACAAGGGTCATGGGACGTGTAACACCGTCCCCAAATATATTTACTTTTATGTAAATAATGTATTGAACCTTATTAAAGGATTAATGAAATTACGAAGTTGTAAATTTTTATTATTTCTTTCGCATGAATAGTAAATTGCACGTGAGACCCACACCGGGAGCGGGGGGGCGGCCCGACATCTCCGAGACTATATATTTTATTCATCTTGGTCTAGATAATAAATATATAGTGGTGGATATTTCATCTGGGCCATGGAAAGACCCGGAGTTGACCGATTGGTCAAATGAAGCCCAAATTTCCGGTACTGGTAAATTAACGGATAACAGTCCGAAAATGAATTTCGAAGACTTCCAAATTAAATTTTTGGAATATATATCATTTCAAAGGGGCGTTATGATTGAGAACACATAATATATTTTATCTTTCCCGATAAAATAAAATATGATTAAAACAGTCCGAAAAATACAACTTTCGGGACCGATTGTACACACCGGGACACAAAGGGATGACCTCCCACATGAGTGGGGGCCACCCCACGTTTTTATATGCTCAAATTGACTAGATGAGAGCTGGTAGTACACTTGATGGGAGGGTGAGACAATTGGAGACATCAAAGGGGTCCCTCCCACCCTTATTAGCTCAATGGGACAAAAAGAACCCATCCCCCTCTTCCTTCATCATTGTACTCGACCAAAGCACCAAGGAGAGGCAAGAGAGAGCTCTCAAACTAGCTTCCATTGCTGCAGCACGAGCTCAAGGAAAAAGGGGTCCAAAGGAGAGGATTAAAGAGGGAAAAAGTGGGGAAAAGTGTGAATAATTAAGGTAATGACCTTATTATAACTTCTCTTCATTTTTCTTTCTACCATATGAGGTATATATCATGTGAAGGACCCTTAGTATGGTTCCACATGTTATAAGTATGGATTAATGGGTTGGAAAGTGATTCTATGTCCAAGAACGGACTTAGAAGTCAAAACGACCGGTTCACCGGAAAATAACCGTTTTGAGGTTATTTGTATTAATATGGGTTTTATGATTATAAAACCTTGTTAGGCACTTGTAAAGGGTATTTCAAGTGATTTCACAAAGTTGGAAAAAGTCGCCGGAGTTGTCGCCGGAGTTGACCAAGTCGCCGGAGTTTCACCGGAGTTCAACCAAGAAGGGTAGAACTTCTTAACGCTAGTTCAAGGTGAGTGGACGGCTTAATATCTTATAACTTTTGGGTTAATTATGAGATTACCTAAATAAATGTTATATGAGTTCATAATGATGTTTAAAAGATATTTAAACATGTGATTAGCCAATAGGGTTAAGATTGTATGAAAGAAATATATTGTTTGTGCATGGAATATGATATGAAGAATTATATAAAATACATATTTGTTTGAAATGTATAAGATGCACAAATGAATATTATTAACTTAATTACATGATGATTAAGTTGATAAGTGTAAGACTTGAAATGGCGGTCAACGACAACGTTGACCGATGGATAAAGGATTAATTAATATCGGTTGATATTAGTTAATTATGTATTTATATAATTGCATGGCTTTGCATGGATTGTGATACATAAGCTTTATGTATTGAATTAGTTATGAGTAACTAAGTATGATATAGACTCTATCTAGGTTGATAGAAGGTTGATCATAGGCAAATATTTTGGTGGAGGACCCTAGTACTTAAAAGTACTTAACACTCAAAATTTGGTGGAGGACCCTAGGACTTAAAGTCCTTAACACTCGGATTATAAATTGGTGGAGGACCCTAGTACTTAAGAGTACTTAACACTCAAAATTTGGTGGAGGACCCTAGGACTTAAAGTCCTTAACACTCGGATTATAAATTGGTGGAGGACCCTAGTACTTAAAAGTACTTAACACTCAAACTTGGTGGAGGACCCTAGTACTTAAAAGTACTTAACACTCAAAACTTGGTGGAGGACCCTAGGACTTATGAGGCCTTAACACTCACAAACCGGTGGAGTATCCGAGGATTTTGATCCTAAAACTCATAGATTATGATATACAAATAGGGACAAGGAGGAGTCCTATACACTCATAGGTATATGGGTGGGTTGGGGTTTTTAGTCAAGAATATTGACTAATACTATTTTTCCCAAATAAAATGGTGATCTACGGATCGGATATTTTCCAAGTATATATATATATATATATACTAATAAGTATTTCATAACTTGGGGGAAAGACTATCTATTTAAGTATCACCCTATGTTTGGGTCTTATACTTGAAACGCTAGTTATTCTATATTTAGCCTGCTACTCGCTCGGTACTTGTACTGACCCCTTCGGGGGGCCCCACCATTTTCAGGTTGAAGCTAGAGCTTGCTACTTGCACCTTCTCACGGGTGATATCAAATCAGGAAGACGTGGTTCGTGCTTCCTTATTTTCTTTCAAACTACCGAACACTTGCTCATGGATATTTGTTTTACTATAAACTATTTTTGGGGCTTGCATGCCCATGTTGTTGGCCGGTTGTGGCCCATGACTTACCGTTGAATATTTCCGCTATTCATTGGTTTAAATGTGATGTTGTTATGTATGTTTACTACTGAGTATGGATGGATTGTTTTCTCGAACGCCTTGTGTAATTAAGTGAGGTTGACTCGTGGGTGACGTCACTTGGTTATACGGCGGTTGTACACGCGCTTGGATTACGGTCTGGGGCGTGACAATTAAGTGGTATCAGAGCCATCTCAGTTCTAAACTATATAATCAACCTCTCACAAAGGGTTTTACAAAAGAATTCTTACCGAAAACCATGAGCATTGTATTTTGACGTTTACAGGACTATTGGTGCTTAAAGTTGCAAGGCCTCTAATTGTTAAGACGGTACCCTTAACAATTGGTATGGTAGTGACTGGGGCCAATACGTGTCTGTAACGTTTTTCCGTCAATTGACATTTATAGGAGTCTAATGACTCATCCATATTTCTTTCAGAAATGGAGGGCAGGCGAATGAGGACCAGGAACAATCCGAGGGGGCAGGCGCCGGTAGCATCCCAAAGGGGAAGCCGGGCTGCATCTCGGGGTTCAAGAGGAGGCCGTGGAGGCCGTGGGAGCCGTGGAGGTCATCAAGCTCAAACTGTGAGCGATGGCCATGTAAGCTCGGTGTATGAAACCAACACCGAGGACTATGACTCAACCTATGTTCCTGAAATGGAGCATGAGGAGACCCCATATGATGGGGGTGACACATACACCGATGATGATGATGAAGAGAGTGATGCCAAGTTCGCCCAAATGGGCGAATTGCTTGAGTGGTATCAAAAAGAAAAACTGAGGAGAGGCCTTAGGCGCCAAGCAAGGCGTGGCTCTCGCGGTGGTTCGCGTCAAGGAAGCCGGGGAGCTTCAAGGGCCACTCCCGCGGCGTCACATGATGGGCGTGAAGGAGGTTTTTGTGTGAGGATCTCCAAGTACCTCAAGGAGGCTAGGGCCTTGGGGTGTAAGTCCTTTGACGGCACCGGTGACATTACCGTTGCCGCCGATTGGATAAAGAAGGTGAAGGATGCGGCAAAGGACATGCAAATTTCACCGGACGTGAAGTTGACTGTTGCTTCACGGCTGCTTGAGGGGATAGCTTCCACGTGGTGGGAGAGTGTGGAAGGAAAATACCATGGGGAGGTCTCATGGTTGAACTTTGAGCAGGAATTTTATGACCAATACTACACTGACTATGAGAAAAATGTCAAGCGTAGGGAGTACACCAACCTCAAACAGAAGGAAGGTGTGTCTGTTAAACAGCTGGAGCAAGATTTTAGAACCTTGGCTAGGTTCTTACCGGAGTACGCGATCAATGAGGACCGCATGTCGGAGCACTTTTGGGATGCCTTACTCTTGGACATCCGTGATCGGGCTACGTACTCACGCCACATGACCTTTAGCGAGGTGGTGGAGCAGGGCCTTCTTGGGGAGGCTCAATGGAATGAGAGAAAAGAAAGAGACGCCGAGGAGGCGAAAAAGAGAAAATGGCATAATTCGGGGCCGCCCGAGCAAGCACGGAAGAATCACCACGGTGGGGGTGGGGGTACGTTCAAGGCGCCGGCACCACCGGCGAAGAAGAACAAGGATGCTCGGTGGCACGCATCCTCCTCTCAAAATACGGGGCCTCCTAGGTGTGCCAACTGTTCAAAGAACCACTTCGGGAAGTGCAACGCACCCCCGAGGTGTTATCGGTGTGGGAACACGGGCCACATGAAGGCCAATTGCCCACAATTGGGGGGAGGAGGGGCTCCGGGATCCGGAGGAGGAACCATGACGGGAAGAAACCGTGCGGGCCCGTCAAACGGCGGTACGGGAAGAGGCAACGCATCCACAAGTCATGCCGCGTCCGTAAACCAAGGCGGGACCCAAGCACGAGTCTACGCGATGACCGAGGCGGATGCGAGAGCAAACCCGGACTCCGTTGCAGGTAATACGCGTATTCCCATGTAATTCTAGGCTTACTTTGATCATATACGTCGTTGGGATTGAGTGTGGGCCACCCCGGGGTCGAACCGGGTGAGTTAGGCCGAATCTGGCTGGAAACAGCCACTGCCGGCCAGGCACGCCCTCAGGCACGCCGTGCCTGGAATCGTGCCTGGAAGGCAGTGGCACCCGAAGAGAAAGAAGGAAAAAAAAAAAAAAATTTGGGCCAGGCACGGCCGCAGGCACGCCGTGCCTGGCGTCGTGCCTGGGAGGCAGTGGCGATCCGCGTTTTTCCAGCCCAGACACGATCGTGCCTAAGGCACGCACGATCGTGTCTACGGGTCAGTGGCGATCCGCGTTTTTCCAGCCCAGACACGATCGTGCCTAAGGCACGCACGATCGTGTCTGCAGTGCAGTAGCTCCCTGGCTTCCTCCCGAGCCAGGCACGATCGTGCCTACCCCAGGCACGCCGTGCCTGGCACCCAGAATGCCAAAAGCCGGGTTTTTAGCACCTTTTCGCGACGTTAAGACCTTTTCTTGATCAGTAAGGTGGGTGTGAACATTGTAACCTTCTGTAAATGAGTAAGGAGAGTAGGAAAGATGTCTTACATGGTTCATGAATGTAGGGACATTAAAGATCAATGGTAGGTGTGCGAGGATCCTCATCGATACCGGGGCACAACGCTCATTTGTGAGTGAGGCGTTCGCCGGGGGCCTTGACGTGCCATTGACACCTATGACGCAAACGTTGCTAGTCTCCACACCGTTAGGGGACGATGTGGAGAGAAATCATTACTATCCATCATGTGAGGTGGAAGTGACGGGCCAACTTTTGACTTGTGATTTCGTACCTCTAAGCATGTTGGAGTTCGATGCAATCCTAGGAATGGATTGGCTTGAGAAGCACCATGCTCGAGTAGATTGCTACACCAAGGTGTTGGAGCTCGAGGATGAGCAAGGAAACATGCTATGTTTTGAAGGAGATCGGGGGAAATCTAATGCTTGTATCATATCCGTGATGAGAGCACGAAAGATGATGAGGAAGGGATGCCACGCATACCTTGCTTACGTGGTAGATGATACGAAGAAAGAAGTCGACGTCAAGGATGTTCGAGTCGTGTGCAAGTACCCGGACGTCTTTCCCAAGGACCTACCGGGGCTTCCACCCGATAGAGAGATTGAATTTGTAATCGAAGTGGAGCCGGGAACCAAACCCATTTCGATTCCTCCTTATCGAATGGCACCGGCCGAACTCCAAGAGTTGAAGGTCCAACTACAAGAATTACTGGACAACGGGTTCATCAGACCCAGTCATTCACCGTGGGGGGCACCCGTACTCTTCGTGAAGAAGAAGGATGGTACACTAAGAATGTGTATTGACTACCGACAATTGAACAAGGTCACAATCAAGAACAGGTATCCCTTACCGAGGATTGATGACTTGTTTGACCAACTTCGGGGGGCAATAGTGTTCTCGAAGATTGATTTGAGGTCGGGGTATCATCAGTTGAAGATCAAGGAGAGCGACATACCTAAGAGTGCATTCCGCACTAGGTATGGTCATTACGAGTTCCTTGTAATGTCATTTGGTTTAACCAACGCACCGGCGGCATTCATGGACTTGATGAACCGGGTGTTTAGTGAATACTTAGATCAATTTGTGATAGTATTCATTGATGATATCTTGATATACTCCAAGAGTGAGGAGGAGCACGAGCATCATTTGGGGCTTATACTTGATCGGCTAAGGGAAAAGCAACTCTTTGCCAAGTTCTCTAAATGCGAATTTTGGCTCAAGGAGATTGGCTTTCTCGGTCACGTCATATCCGGTTCGGGCGTAGCTGTGGATAACGCAAAGATAAAAGCTATCATGGATTGGGAGAGACCCAAGAATGTGAAAGAGATACGTAGTTTCCTTGGCTTAGCGGGATACTATCGTAAATTTGTTGAAAAATTCTCCGTATTGGCGTCTCCATTAACGAAGCTCACAAAGAAAGGGGCCAAGTTCATATGGGACGACAAGTGTGAGAAAGGGTTCCTTGAACTGAAGAAACGACTTACCGAAGCACCAGTCCTTGCCCTACCCATACAGGGGATAGGGTATGACATTTACAGCGATGCTAGCATCCAAGGGCTTGGATGTGTACTAATGCAAAACGGTAAGGTGATTGCCTATGCTTCTAGGCAATTGAGAAAACACGAGGTGAATTACCCTACTCACGACCTAGAGTTGGGGGCGGTAGTGTTTGCATTGAAGATTTGGAGGCATTATCTCTACGGGGAAACGTGTCACATTTATACCGATCATAAGAGCTTGAAGTATGTATTCACTCAAAAAGAGTTGAATATGAGACAAAGGAGATGGATGGAGTTGATCAAGGACTATGACTTGATCATCGACTATCATCCCGGAAAGGCCAACGTAGTGGCCGACGCACTGAGCAGGAAGAGTACGGCGGGGACGTTACTTACTTGTCTGCAGGCATTGAGGGCACGCGTGGAGATATCCACGTGCGGGGCTCTCATTGCTCAATTTGAGGTTAGGCCCACCCTATTGGGTGAGATTAGTCGAAGTCAGGCCATTGATGAAGAATGTCAGAAAATCCGCGAAAGAATCCTTGAAGGACCCGTTGAGAACTTCCGAGTACGTGATGACGGTCTTTTATTATTTAAGGATCGTGTGTGCATACCAAAGAATGAGGAGCTCCAGAAGTCTATACTTGAGGAGGCTCATTCTTCAGCTTATGCTATGCATCCAGGAGGTACTAAGATGTACCGAGATTTGAAGGAAAGTTACTGGTGGTCAGGTATGAAGAGGGACATTGCAGAGTATGTGAGTCGATGCCTTACTTGCCAGCAAGTTAAGGCAGAACATCAGCACCCGGCAGGGCTTTTGCAGCCACTCACCATCCCAGAGTGGAAGTGGGAGCACGTGACCATGGACTTCGTGGTGGGGCTACCACGAACAGTGAACAACTATGATGCAGTTTGGGTAGTGGTTGATAGGCTCACCAAGAGTGCACACTTTTTGCCTATCAACATTACTTATCCTCTTGAAAGATTGGCCAAGCTCTACACGGAGGAGATCGTGAGATTACATGGAGTCCCAATATCCATTGTCTCGGATAGGGATCCACGATTCACATCCCGATTTTGGCCAAAGTTTCAAGCATCTTTGGGGACTAAACTGAAGTTTAGCACAGCTTTTCACCCACAGACGGATGGACAGTCCGAGCGGGTGATACAGATTTTGGAAGACATGCTTAGGGCATGTGCTTTGGAGTTCCAAGGAAGTTGGGACAAGCATTTGGCCCTAGTGGAGTTTGCCTATAACAACAGTTATCAGGCAAGTATCGGCATGCCTCCATATGAGGCATTGTATGGGAGGAAGTGCAGAACACCGTTGTGTTGGGACGAGGTTGGCGAGGCCAAACTCGAAGGGATAGAGCTGGTTGAGATCACCAAGGCCAAGGTGAGGATCATTCGGGATAGACTGAAGGCCGCTCAGGACCGACAGAAGAGTTATGCTGATAAACGGAGGAGACCGTTGGAGTTCGAAGTCGGTGATGAGGTCTTCCTAAGGATTTCCCCTTGGAAGGGCATCATCCGATTCGTATCGAGGGGGAAGCTTAACCCCCGATACATAGGTCCGTTTGAGATCCTTGAAAGGATAGGGCCCGTGGCTTACCGTCTCAAGTTGACGCCTGAACTTGAGAAGATACATGACGTGTTTCATGTATCAATGCTTAAGAAGTACATACGAGACCCATCTCATGTTCTTGAGAAACCACCGGTAGAGATCCGTGAGGACTTGCAATATGCGGTGGAACCAGTGAAGATTGTTGGTCAACAAGTGAAGAAGCTTAGGAATAAGGAGATTCCTATGGTAAAGGTTCTGTGGAGGAGTGATCGAGTCGAAGAAGAAACTTGGGAGACCGAGGTCTCAATGAGGGAGCAATACCCATTTCTTTTCGATTAGATACTTGGATTTCGGGGACGAAATCCCAAATAAGGGGGGGTGAACTTGTAACACCGTCCCCAAATATATTTACTTTTATGTAAATAATGTATTGAACCTTATTAAAGGATTAATGAAATTACGAAGTTGTAAATTTTTATTATTTCTTTCGCATGAATAGTAAATTGCACGTGAGACCCACACCGGGAGCGGGGGGGCGGCCCGACATCTCCGAGACTATATATTTTATTCATCTTGGTCTAGATAATAAATATATAGTGGTGGATATTTCATCTGGGCCATGGAAAGACCCGGAGTTGACCGATTGGTCAAATGAAGCCCAAATTTCCGGTACTGGTAAATTAACGGATAACAGTCCGAAAATGAATTTCGAAGACTTCCAAATTAAATTTTTGGAATATATATCATTTCAAAGGGGCGTTATGATTGAGAACACATAATATATTTTATCTTTCCCGATAAAATAAAATATGATTAAAACAGTCCGAAAAATACAACTTTCGGGACCGATTGTACACACCGGGACACAAAGGGATGACCTCCCACATGAGTGGGGGCCACCCCACGTTTTTATATGCTCAAATTGACTAGATGAGAGCTGGTAGTACACTTGATGGGAGGGTGAGACAATTGGAGACATCAAAGGGGTCCCTCCCACCCTTATTAGCTCAATGGGACAAAAAGAACCCATCCCCCTCTTCCTTCATCATTGTACTCGACCAAAGCACCAAGGAGAGGCAAGAGAGAGCTCTCAAACTAGCTTCCATTGCTGCAGCACGAGCTCAAGGAAAAAGGGGTCCAAAGGAGAGGATTAAAGAGGGAAAAAGTGGGGAAAAGTGTGAATAATTAAGGTAATGACCTTATTATAACTTCTCTTCATTTTTCTTTCTACCATATGAGGTATATATCATGTGAAGGACCCTTAGTATGGTTCCACATGTTATAAGTATGGATTAATGGGTTGGAAAGTGATTCTATGTCCAAGAACGGACTTAGAAGTCAAAACGACCGGTTCACCGGAAAATAACCGTTTTGAGGTTATTTGTATTAATATGGGTTTTATGATTATAAAACCTTGTTAGGCACTTGTAAAGGGTATTTCAAGTGATTTCACAAAGTTGGAAAAAGTCGCCGGAGTTGTCGCCGGAGTTGACCAAGTCGCCGGAGTTTCACCGGAGTTCAACCAAGAAGGGTAGAACTTCTTAACGCTAGTTCAAGGTGAGTGGACGGCTTAATATCTTATAACTTTTGGGTTAATTACGAGATTACCTAAATAAATGTTATATGAGTTCATAATGATGTTTAAAAGATATTTAAACATGTGATTAGCCAATAGGGTTAAGATTGTATGAAAGAAATATATTGTTTGTGCATGGAATATGATATGAAGAATTATATAAAATACATATTTGTTTGAAATGTATAAGATGCACAAATGAATATTATTAACTTAATTACATGATGATTAAGTTGATAAGTGTAAGACTTGAAATGGCGGTCAACGACAACGTTGACCGATGGATAAAGGATTAATTAATATCGGTTGATATTAGTTAATTATGTATTTATATAATTGCATGGCTTTGCATGGATTGTGATACATAAGCTTTATGTATTGAATTAGTTATGAGTAACTAAGTATGATATAGACTCTATCTAGGTTGATAGAAGGTTGATCATAGGCAAATATTTTGGTGGAGGACCCTAGTACTTAAAAGTACTTAACACTCAAAATTTGGTGGAGGACCCTAGGACTTAAAGTCCTTAACACTCGGATTATAAATTGGTGGAGGACCCTAGTACTTAAGAGTACTTAACACTCAAAATTTGGTGGAGGACCCTAGGACTTAAAGTCCTTAACACTCGGATTATAAATTGGTGGAGGACCCTAGTACTTAAAAGTACTTAACACTCAAACTTGGTGGAGGACCCTAGTACTTAAAAGTACTTAACACTCAAAACTTGGTGGAGGACCCTAGGACTTATGAGGCCTTAACACTCACAAACCGGTGGAGTATCCGAGGATTTTGATCCTAAAACTCATAGATTATGATATACAAATAGGGACAAGGAGGAGTCCTATACACTCATAGGTATATGGGTGGGTTGGGGTTT